AAATTCGTACGTTTTTGAATTTTTTACAATTCTTGATTGATATGAAGTTTCTTGATCATATGAAGTTTTTCTTGTCATACAATTAAAAACAAATTTGACGAACTGTGAAAAATTAATAGTCGTACTTCGTGAAAAAATTGTTTATCACATTATCACTGTTGAGATTGAATTAATTTTTCCCCTTATTTCCTTATTTTTTAGAAATGCATTAATTTTTTCTATTATTGTTTTTTTTTGGAACTTACTGATCACTTAAAAATCGATATAGTAGTACAATATAAGAAAAAGATGAGTGTTTATTGGCCATTTGGTAGCCTCGCTATCATCTATTCGTGTGTTGAGGTGATTTTTCCTAGGATATTCATTCAGAGATAGAATCATAGATGGATTTCTAGAAGTAAGAGGACTTTTCAATGCTGCAGGATTTATTCCAGCCGAAGGCAGAACTTTGATGATAGGGACAAAAATATATGCAACAACCACTTGGACATTCTATGGTAGGTACATTGCATATTTCATAAAGATTTTGTCCTGTCTTTCATTTCGTCTCATTTCGGTCGTTTCAAATTGAATAATGCAAAAACGCTAAGAAAATCGTAAATGATATGTGAAAGTAATGGAATTTGAGGATTTCCTTCGTTCTCTGTTCTTGCTTTTATTTCTAATTTTCTTATCATCGTCCTCTCACACATCTTTGGTGAAATAATTGAACAAACTCGAATGGTGCGTCGGATGATTGGACTATAATTTTTCGAGCACAGATATCGATTTGAAACGATACGCGATGCCGTCGGCTTTTGATGAAATGAATAATCATAAATTAAGCTGAAAAAGCTTTATTTATAGGTAGAAGGATTGATAATTCGATAATTCCCTGTGCATAAAAGATTAACCATCTAACTTGTTCGTCTCGAGAGTTCTCCAAAAAAAACTTATCCGCATTTACTAAGACGGCTTCCTCTTGAAATTCCTCTTCAGCATTTATTGAATCACTTTAAGTAAATTTTAAGCGTTCTCGGATATCATTGAAAACCGATTTGCACAGATTCATTCATATTTTCCTCTTCCGAATTCCCTATTCAATAATAATTATAAATAATCTCTTTAATTGCAAAGCAATTAGTGAATTTCATAAATTTTAATTCTTCTGTTGTCAAAATTATATTGGATTTTTATATTTTTATTATTTTTAATTTGCTTTTTATTTGGAGGGGCAAATTATTGCAAATTATTTAAATATTGTTTAGAAGCAAAAATAACTAAAACCATAACTATAAAATTTGCCAAATTCACTTAAAACTATTTTATGCTTAAATTTTTTTAAAAAATTTACTCGTTTATTTTTTCTTCTAAATCTATAAAAATTTTCATTTTTTAATTTGCATTTCACAATTTTTGATGATTTTCCAATCGCTAAACATGTTAGATCACTTTTTCAAATTTCCTCGCATATCATAAATCCATTGAGATTTAATTTCATTCTTTTTTTTTAAAAAAAGGTGATTATATCGAATATCATCGAACAGCAAATATGAAAATCCGTTCTTTGCTAAAGAAGAGAAAAAACTTCTCTTAAATTCGCTTTTTATTTCCATTTCGGCTTTGCTTCTTTTCAACTTGAAATCGCTAAAAAAATGAAAGAACTTGAAGGAAAAAAAAGAATTAAAAAAAATTTCAGTTTTAGCAAATTTTTATTATTTTAAATATTTTCATTGAATTACTGCGAGAAAATCAGACTAAGCAAAGCAAAGGGACTACAGCATAACATTATTGTTTTAGAACAGAAACTAATCAAATGGATTATTTGCTATTTTTATTGTCTTTCCTGCAAATAAGGAAATATTCTTCTATAAAGTTACGATTATTTCTTCTTTATATGTGCCTAAGTATCGCTTAAATTTTGGTCATTTATTGTTGTTCATTTGCATTTCTTTGCAATAAAATTTTTTTTCAATTTTTAATGATCAAATTTGCTATTATTATTGTTATTAATATTACTGTTGATACGGCGAATTCAGCAACGTCTTCTGGCTTGAAAGCATTAAGAAATTTGTGTGCTAGGATCATTTGAAATTGATCCTCCATGAGATATGTAAGTTTGTCATCTATAATCGTTTTCATGAGATTGCTTTTTGGAATTGATTTCAAATTCCAACGATTTTAAATTTTTAAATTCTGGAAGATTTGGAGAAATTTGGAGAAAAAGGAAAATAAAGAATAATGTAATGTATCCATGAATTTTTTTTAATTTTTCTTTTATCATTTTATTTATTGACAAAGATTTGAGCTATATTTGGGAAAACTTTCAATAATTATATTGAACTATTTTTTTAGTTTAATTTGCGAAATATGTTTAATCATTCAAGAATTATATCGTCGTTAGTGTTCGTTATGTTTTCTGTAATTTAATATTAGCGCAGTGTTGGAGAAAAATTCTCCATATTCTTAAATGAAAGTTTTTTTTGAAATTCTTTTATGCTTAGTGCGATAGTTATCTTGCAAAGGTTCCTTAATTCTGAAAATTTAACTGAAATCTCTTTTTCATGAATCCACACCATTTGTAGTTAAGCTCGCTTCGCTGGCTAGCTAAATTGAACGAATATTCCAAGTAGTCCATTAAGGATGGAAGTTGACTTAAATAGCCAGCATCATCGAATTTTTCAACAAGTTCATGTTTTTTAAATTTAACAATAATAACAATAATAATTAGGATGCGCTGTTCTACAAATCCACCAGTGAATTAATAAAAACCTTAAACGACAGTAAACGACAGTAAACGATTGCCGATAGCCATTGATGATTGTTGACCTTCTAATTCAATTTAGCATAGTCCACAACTTATTTGACCTTATTTAATAATGCTGAAATTGTTTATTCCTTGAAACAATCATTTTTTTTAACGAAGAGGATTAATGGTTCCATCTCATTTGTTATTATGTAATAATTCAGAGAAAAATTGGCTTCTATGCCAAAATATGATTTTTTAGAAATTTCATTTGAGAATTCATTAATGGAAAAAGAAGAAGAGAAAAATTGTGGTGTAAAATAATGGTACAATTATAAATAATGAATATTCGTTAACCAGGAATTCGATATTAGGGAGATTGAGTGGGTTGTTGCTCTCATTTCGGAGTGAGATTCTATTCCCCACCGAAGATCTGCAAGTCTTTTCAAAAATTCTGGTTACTGTTGGCTTATCTGAACCTACATCAAGTGAGCCAAGTGATTTCCTGGTAAAATTTATCTGTTTCCGACATGCCATCGAAGCGAGCATAACCAGAAATGACGAGTGCGTTAGAAAAAAGAATGAATTGTTCAGCGACGATGATCGACTGAAATAAATGTTGATGGAGAAAAAATAATAACGAATCATGACTAGGCGTGCCAATATTCAACCATAAATAAATATTTCTATTCAAATCAGCCATATCCACTTAGACCAAAGCCCGAAAAAATATCGTCTTACTTAGAATAGATAGATTTTTTTATTTTCTTATCGTCGAAAAGATATAAATATTTTTATGTTATTTGCATTTTCCCTCAATTTTCTCGAATAATTATCGTCAATTTCATGTCAACAAACTCGCATTTCATTCATTCTCCTGTGCTCGAACTCGTAATCTAATACTTTTTTCTATTTCCACTTCTTTAGGCCGTTTAGTAATGATTTGATGATCGATGGGTGGATAGATGAATGCTTCACACAGCTTCATATTATTTTATTATTTAAGGAATTGAAATTTGTAGAGCTGATGGCTTCATTTGTCTTTTTTTCTCAAAAATCATGAAAATTTTGCTAAATTCTTTAAAGTTTTTCTAAATTTATATATAGAAGTATGATTTTTTAACCAAAATTCATCGAAAATTTAGTACAAAAGAGAGATGAGAAATGGAGGGCGAATCTCTACCAGTTTTTAAGTTTTATTCAGAAAGTTCAGACTTATTTTTAAATGTTTCTTAGAAATTTTTCGTTAATATTTGCTTTTCTACTTTATACAATATCTACTTTTTTTGAGAAAAGCTTTTATATTTTTCTTGTGCAATTAATATTTTCCACCGAAATATCTAAATTTATTGAAATATTGTAGTTGAGAGATGTCCGCATTAATCTTACCAGTTGTTTGAAACTTTTCTTATGATTTATCTATAGATTTATGGATTTATCCATGGACTTCGTCTATTCATAACCAATGATTGTTACTCATACGAATTGATTTATAGAAATTTTTTTCAGTCGGACGTTTCGTAACCTCTACAAGTGTCCAACTATTTGGCTTCCTTGAGCAGCACAAGACAGAATAATCTTAGTCGGCATATAAAATGTATAACAAAATGTATAAGAGGTGCAAGGAAAAAAGTTTCACTTGTTTTTTGTATTTTTAAAAATTAAAACAAAAGGGGGCAAAAGAAAATTAATTGGGATATTTAATTTTATGACTATGAAATTAGTGCATAAATATTTTCGAAGGAAGTAATTACAAATCCTATTTTACGACGGGCCACAGGTTGGACACCTCTGCTTTACACCATTTTCATTTTATTTTCGTGCGTAAATAAATTCACCTCATTTTTTGTTCCAGAATTATTCTCCATATACTTTCTTGTATTTCATTGGTCACCAGAGTTACAGAATAGAGTTATTTGTGGCACTATGCCATTTAATTAAGCGATGCTCTATAATTCGGGCAATAATTTACCACTGCCCTATTCTCGACACCATTCATCATCCAGTTGGATGTTTTTCAACCATTCAACATCTTTATCACAGTATTTGTGTGGTTTTTTTTATTATTACAGTATTAGTGGAAATCATTATTGGAATAAACGCTCCTTCATTTTTAATATATATATCAACGCTGCACATTTTCCTTGTCAACGAAATAATTATCGTAAAAACTTTGGTCAAATTACCAAATTTTATTGGATTACTTTTTTACGGAATTTATTATCCTAATTTATTAGAAAGTTTTCTCAACGACAATGCTTAATTTATTGTCGTTATGAAAACAGCTGTATTCGGACACGACGATTCATGCGACGGCTCATCACTCGCATTAAACAGCGGTGCAGTTGCACCATCATTGACATTCACCCCACCAGCAATTCTCTCGGCTGCTGCTTCACTTCATCCAAGAAGAAGTGGTGGTGCACTTGCTGCGTCCGTAAGTACATATCGGGCACAACACAGTCGCCGTACCTCTCGTATGCAGAATGTGAGTTTTTCTTCAAAAATTTCTTTGCTTTATTAGATTTTTATCGAGAAATTTTGAATTTGCCAATAACTGAATGGTTTTGATATTATTGCTAATCTTATCAATAAAGTGTGCATTCATTCTACAATTTTACTTTTTTTGATAGATTATTAGATCTTTTTTATGCCAAAACTTTTTAAGTTCTATCAGGCTTAGATGAATACGACTGTTGCACATTGCTCCAGCGACAAAGATAGATGGAGCCCTTAGGCTTGAATTTGATTTAAATTTGATTTAACAACTATTCCAGTAAATTTTCCATTTAATATGAATTATTTATTGTGAAATTTTAATGGCTCGAAAAATTTATTAAAAAATCGGTTTACTTAATCAGTTTTCGAAAATAATGATCCTTCTCATAATTCTTCAATTAAAGCCAACTTTTAGTCAAATAACTTATTTTCTTTCTCTAGAGATTTCTGCAAAAAGTTTAAAATTGCGACTGAAATGAAAAATTATAAATAATCAACTATACTGATATTTCTTAAGTTTCGTAATCAATTCAATTCTCATTTTCGCATTCGTGAAAAACTTTAAAAACTTTTCTGCAGAAAAAAATACAAATCCTAAAGTGTAATAAATTAGGTGATTTAGAAAAATTACTTTTTTTTGAAAATTTGCCGTTAATTACATTACTTTTATCATAATTACTTTTTAAAAAATTATTTCACATTTTTAAAATTCAAATTTTTATTTAACGATTTTGATTTTTGATTTTTTTCAAAATTCTTGGGTCCCTTTTTTCCTTTTTTTTTATTCTTTCACTTTTGTTTTTCCGATTAGTAAATTCCTTCTTCTGTTGGGAGTTTCCTGAAAATTTAATCCTTTTCTCGCTCTGTTGTTTTTTCTTTAGCTTTCATCTAACAATCTTCGTGCAATTGAAATGAAATAAATGATTGAAGAAGGAAATGAATATCGATTAAATAAATGGTATAATTTTTAAGGTACATTTTAATAAATTCAATATTAAAATATTTGCAACGAAATTTGTTGATTATTTTTGCATTCCCTGGAGGCAAAAAGTTGTTCAGATGAGCAATAAAATGTTTTAAAAGTTGAAAAGTTGCATCATTAAAATTTTTTTCTTTACTGAAATTCTTGAAGAAACTTGGTACTTCACACAAAATATTTATGATTGCTGCATAAAACAAATAAGCGGTAAATGTTTTCTTATTACGCTCGGATTAATAATGGTCGAAAAAATTTTTTGTCAAAATGTCATTCTAAATCAGAAGCATAAGTGGGTCTCTAAAGTCGTCTGGGCTTTGCAAATACCATCTTGTTTCTGCCAGAGATTTAATCGAAGCTTGACGCTCAAGGCAAATGCCCCAAGTAACCACTCTGCTACCCTATTTTCCATGATTAAAACAATTTTGATGTGGATTTTTACCTGAATTATCTATCTATCTATCTATCTATATATATATATATATATATAATTATTTTATTTATAATCATAAATTATATTTTCTATTGGCCATAGTTTATTCAAAAAGCTTTTCTTGAAGCTGCGAGGTCTATAAAGTATTCTTACACAAGATCCTTGCTTATATGAACTTTTCTTTACAAGTTAATTAATTATATGATATAAATATGATATATAAAGTTGATGTTTTTATTAAAAATAAGCCTTGAACTCTCGATAAAAATTCAAGTGGAATGCTTGTCATCAGACATTCAAACATTAGATTTTTGCAGTAGAACACAAATTGCTCTAATCTGAATCTGAACTATGTCGCCTGCCGGTTTACGTCGAATAATGTCTAAAACTTTTCGTGAAATTGGAAATTCTATTTAGTTTAGCTAATTTTATAGTTTGGAAATTCTTTTTCAATTCATCTAATTATAAAGAAAATTTTTGATGAAAAAATAGAGAAATTGAAAATTTTCAATCGGAAAAAAAGCGATCTTTTCGCGAAAAACTGTAATTCATTAAAAACCATTTATTTTTTTGAAAATATAAATCATCAAAAATTTTCCCGGAATGTTTTTTGGTTTCATAATTTTTTCAAAAATTTTGATAAAATTTTTTCATTTTTGGTTGCAAATTATAATAATTTAAAAAAATTTCCAATGAATTCTTTTTATTTATAATTTTTAATTCATTCATTTTTTTAAAGCTTTTGAATTTTTTCTTCGCTATTATTTTTTCGATTTTTTCCCATTCTATTCGCTTGAAACTTTTCATTTATGAATAATTAGCGGCGAATTCATAGTTACAAGTAAATTAAGAAAATTTCTAATTTTTCTTAGTTCTTTTTCAACATATTTTTTTATATTATAAATTTCTTATAATACATTTTTTGTTATGCAAAAGGCTTTTGTTTTTGCAAATGAATTTTCGATTTTTTTCTCTGTGAAATGAAAATTCAAAAAGAAATTTAAAAATTTGTCATTTATTAAATAATATAAATCAAAATAGTCGATCGATTGTTTAATTTAGATAGGTTTTGAGGAGAATTGTTGTCCTAAAATTAATGCGACTTTGCAATAAATCTAATATCCGGGTTTCGATTAAGCTTAAACCTAATTTTGGATTTTCATTGGTTATGTTGAAAAGATGCTTAAAAATTAAAAATCTCGCCTGTTGGCATTAAAATCGAACAAACACTTTATGGTACTTTTTTAAAATTATTATTATCCACAAAGACTTTTAATATTTTTAGCGCATTTCCTTACCCCTTTTCTTACAGATAAACAATTTTTTCGAGAAGTATTAGTGGATGAATCAGGATTGCCTACTATTTTTAAATCCTTTTCAACACCATTTATTCAAATGCAATATGTTTTTCTTTTTTTATCAGAGTAACTATTGCTGATTTCACTGTGCTGATTTCAGCACTAAAGTGCGAGCATCAAATAATGATAGAAGTGATAAAAGAATAGGCCATCTAAGTTGCCTACCACTATCTAAATTCCATTTTTAATCACAGATTTACCATCAAACATCATCATCAAAAGACAGAAACCATAATAATTTGTGAATCATTGCCTGACTTCAGTCAAAGTGACATATAGCTTGCTCATCCTTCTCGCTTTTGTATATTAGTGGCTTTTTGCTAATGTAGATTATCAGGTTTATATAACTATGTAATGCTTCAAAATCCGCATCATTTTATATATTTGAACAAATTAATAATTGGCATATCGTTATTGTGGTGAGATTTTATCATTTGTCAATATTTCGTGTATTTTTATATTTTCAATATTTTTCTCATTTCCCTTGTTTTTATCAAAAATAAAAGGATGAAAAAATTAACTAATTTTGATAAAAAACTTGGCCTTAAAAGTGTTAAATAAGGAATTAGCTACGGTCGATGGGCTTTTTGAGAACGATTTTCAATAGATTTGCAATAATCAATAGTCATTGAAGAAAAAAAGAAAGAAAAAAAAACAGTTTTTCGAATAAATTGTTAAAGTTCGCATGAAAAAAACCAAACACATTCATAAGGCATCCTTTCATATTTTTCTCAATGAGAGGAAAATTGTCGGAAGAGGAAAAAAATATTCGAATTCGATGCTATGGACTAAAAAAACCATCGAATCCGCTTAGTCTAACCCTGAAAATTTATTTCCTTATACATTGTTTTTACTTGTATTTCTATATAAATCACAAATAATATTAAGAAACATTATGGAAAAAACATTGAAGAAATAAAAACATAAAAAATAAAATGTGAAAGACATAAATATTTAAAATTTTTTTGCAGAAAAATCCATAATTATAAAAATAAAATTATTTCGAAAGAGTTTTTGTTTATTTTGATTAATCATATTTATCATATTTGAGATGATTTCTGAGAAATCTTTTAAAATATTTGCTATTTAAAAATTTAAAAACAATAAAAGAAAACTAAAAATATGTTAGTTAACATAAATAAACATAAAATTATTTATGAGAAAAGATTTTTCTTCAAAAAAATTTGAGGAACATTTTTCAAAATTCACAAAATTTTGGTAAATCTCTTTAATTAATTATTAATTAATGATAAAGCCTTAATAAACTTATCAAATAATTTGTGAAAATTGCTGTGAAAATTATCACGCATCTCTGACACTCCCCTTAACCGCTTTTTCCGGTTCCATGCTGTATATGATTTATTTTCCTTTTTACAAGATATTCCACTTTTCTTTTTTTCTTGGATTTCCACTTCAGAAGCACTTGAAAATTAATAACTTAATAAATAAATATATTAAAAATTAATGTTTGCTTTCCGAAATCTTTAACAATTCTCACTGCAAAGGGGGATTTTATCTAATACAGTTTTCATTCAATATTATTAAAATGCTAAAATCAAATATGCAGTACATTTAATAATATAGTAATAATAATATTTAAACAATATAATATAAATATAGCAAGCAATGTTTAATTTCTTTCACCATTTTGTTGGTGACCAACATTTAAGAAATGAGGCAAATTTTCATTAAAAACAATATAAAATGCAATTATATTCGCAGTTTTGAATTAATTGTTCTTCTTTATTAAAACTAAATCGTTATAACTAAATCGAACCGTCAACTGCAAATTTTTTAAAATTTCTTCAAAATTAGTTTACCATTCAAATTCTCGAAGAATAATAAATTATATTATTTATATTACTTATATATGTATTTAAATTATATATATATTACTTTCATTGATTCACCTTTTTACCTTTTTTATCTTTTTTAATAACTTTTTTAAATATATTTCAATGAAAATTTTAAATATATTTCAATGGGCGCTTATCGTTCGTTACGAATTGTAAAATATATAAATACTGCTGGATTTGCTTGCGAATTTGCAAATGTATATTTGAAATCTTCGACTAGAATTTTATTGTTTATTATTTATTTATTATTTACTTATTATTGCTATCGTTTTTACGATGCAATTTATTTAATAACAATTATATTTTTATATTGCAATGCAGCACTTTTAATATTACAAATAAATTAATTAATTGTTCAATGTATAAAAAATTTTCAGAAAAATACCTATAAACTCCGCTGTG